ATGGAGCAGATGGGCTCACATTCCGCGACTGGCATTGGTGTTTTGATCGTTTGGGTTGTGTTTGATTAGCTTCTTACACCACTACGTAATCTAACAGTACTTCATCCATCATCTCATCCATCCACAATCATGCCTGTAAGCGAAATCAAAGCACCACTGATAGTTTGCTTAGGAACTAGAGGACATAATAATAATAATTATTGATATTATTATTCTCTACACCACGACTAAAGATGTTATGAGTCACCTGAAAATAAAATCTACTCCAGGTTGCAACAAGCTATCTAACGAGCTGGGGCTGTCGGTACCTCTACAATACATTGCGCCAAATGACGCCTATTCCATGTGAACCAATTCCTTGCACTTCCTAGTCCTTTGAAAACTTTTTACTCGAGAGTTTATCCAAATTTTACACAAATTTTGCGGAACAAATCAAGAGCTCCGATGACTATCGGTCCGACCTGTGCTTTTACGCTCTACATTCGGCTGGCCTCGATTTCCAACCTCTTGTCTTTAAGACGTTTCTCTGCCTCCTTGGCTACGACATTTGATCGCAAGGCACAGAAACATCTACATGTAGATACAATTTTTTCTTCAAATCCAGGATAACAATATCCAGTTTGTTTGCTGCATTCAGCGATCCGTTTAAATTTGTTGGTCGTAAAGAGTCGAACAGATGGTTTTCATGAGTATTTTTTGAGTATCGGTTTTGATGAGTATTCGTATCACTTGGGGCATGAGTTTGGAACTTCAAGGGCGGTACAGTTATGTCAGTGGAAGTAACTACGCACCATGTCATGTCTTTTCAAGTATTCGGTTTTTACCAGTATTGGATAAACTAAGACGATATGATCAATGGTTTCTACTTGTTCCTGGCAGATGCGGCATTTTTTCATCTTGGGAAATTAGAATTGCTTTATCATAATATCGTGTTCTCAACGCCTAATCCTGAGCAGCTATTAGAACTGCTTCCGATTCTGGCTGCCAAATCTTTGTTTTGTTCGAATTAATATAAAAATCAAAATAACATCAATGCTGGCTGAACGTTCATGTGAATTACTCCAATATGTCTTCAATTATTCATAATAATAATAATAATAATAATAATAATAATAATAATAATAATAATAATAATAATAATAATACAAAAAATTTATTAGTATTCCTGAAAGTTTTTGATTAATGAGAATCGATCTAAGAAAATACTGTATTTACTAGGCTATCCGGGTGACGCCGCGTCCATGGCGAAGGTGCCGACGTTTCGGTCGCCATTCTGCTACCTACCTCAGGGCGTATTGCGCGGAGATGTGCTGCGCACGAGTTTAAATTGGGCTTAGTTTCTCCTCTACCCGAGTGCCGGTTGGCCGGGTGGTCGGCTAATGCGGAGAGAGCACCGGCCAATCAGGGGCGGGCTCTCAGCAGGGTGAGAGGAGGCGCTCCGTCCGTAATCGGACGTTGCGGAACAGCTAGGACCGCGTCCGGTCGAGATCGGACGTCCTGGTAAAATAGGTGTTTCCAGGCATCGTGTACACGTATGCGTTGGTCAGCATTCAAGTTATAGGGGTGTTTGATGATTTCCACCGCCTCTTTTACCCTCCTCGTGCCCCAGCGGTCTTCTCTAGCTAAGAGGCGTGTGTCATCAAATAAAATAGCGTGGCCAGTTTTCCATGCGTGCAGGGCTACGGCCGATTTATTCGTATTATTGTATTTATAATTACGAATATTTTCCTGGAGTCGTTCCCCTACGGTACATCCCGTCTAGCCAATGCAACTATGGCCGCAGCTGCATGGGATCTCGTATACCCCCGATGACGTAAGGGGAGGGACGCAATCTTTCACGCGTACAAGCTTTTGCCCTGGGCTTTGTTGGCCGTCTTTATATCAAAGCGGCTCAGAAGCTTGCCAATCTTATCTGTGACGTACATATAGCAGAGTGGCTATTTTTGTGTTGGGATTGTCTCTAGTTGTGATGATACCAGAAGTTTTGGCAGAGGTCGTAGCCTGCCGTACCGCTAGTTTGGCAGCGTTTCATCATTCATCATCATCATCATCATCATCATCATAATTTTATCCCATCCCCTGGTAGTAAGAACCCTAGGGCATAGAAATGGAAGGAGTGTTGCTATCGCTGGCCCCGTGATGGCAGTGGATGCAATTGGTTGCAGGTCGCGAGGAGACCAGGAGCTGGGCCCCAGCGAACGCGTGCGCTTCGCCGACAACAACAACACGGTGGTGCTGAGCCTTCAGCGCGTGACGCGCGATGACGTGGGAACATACTCGCTGGTGGCGAAGAACGCAGCGGGGGAGGCGCGCACCGCCTTCGACCTGCGGCTCCTGGACGACGCGGCGGCGGGCGGCGGCGACGGCGAGGCGCCCGTCTTCCTGCGCCGCCTCAGCGACCTCGCCGTCAAAGTGGGCACCCGCACCCGCTTCCTCGTCGAGATCCGCAGCTCCTCCGATGTCCAGGTGCGTCAGTGGGGTCGCTGCTGCGCAAGGGGTCCTGCCTGGAAGGGGGGACAAATGAGTGTATGATAGTGTTAGTTCATTTAGCGTGCCCGGGGTCTGAGCCTAGCTGCAGGCGCTTGCTTTAGACGGCCCAACAAACGCAGTACTTTTGTACTTTTGAGTGGGGCTAGGGATACTTCTGGGCTGTTCACGTTGACGTCCCACTGGGCACCCTGTCCCTTGCTTGTCGAGACAGCCCGACTGAAAGGAAGGGGATGCTTTCGCATTGCTGAAAGAAGGAAAACGAGTAATGGTAGTTGAACCTGAGATGCGTTTCAAATTATATTCCTTGATTACATGCAATGTTGTTTTCGTAAATTAAACGTCGTGGACCGTGAAGATATCTAAAAAATAATCTAATTTCCCTCTTGAAATTTCGTTTGCGGCTCCTCTAAAGCCATTCCGCAAAAAGTGCACGGAAAGCACCGCACGTTACAGGTTCAACCTAATCTGTCGAGATACATGATAATAAACCAAATGAAGCAGATTTTCCGCTGCCTGTTTGACAGACAAATTGAGTACAATTTAGGGCGCGAACGACTCTAGTCTAGTGAAATGATGGAGGCACGTGGGTCGCTGCAGTTCACTGGTAGCAGTCTGGTTCCATATTCTGCATTTGAACAGCACTAAGTTAAGCGATTAGCTTTCGTCCATACGTAAGGTGCGAATTGGTTTATTTCTTCAGGAAATCGACAAATTGACGACTAAAACGAAGGTTGCGAAACTCAACCTAAAAAATCCTAAGTATGTCCCTGAAAAAGCTCTCTTTTCCAATTTCCTTAATTTGAACACCTTAAAGTGTGAAAATCATAAACACTGCACATAGAGATATCTATTGATTGTCACTATACTCTAGGCATTGATTAATTGTGTTGCAAAGTTATATAACTCAGATAGGGGATATAACTGATGCGTAAGTTACTGCGAGCTCAGACACTCGCAAAATGAGGCATGATAGATCAAAATAATTAACGAATTAATGTTCATTTCATTAGAAGTTTACGTTAGTGATAATGAGGAAGACGAGAAAAACTCTCGAGATAGGAGTTTGAGTACTTGGTTTAAAAAGAAAATTGGCTTAGGTTTGACTTTTTTATTGTAGGCTTTTCTTGAGGAATAACACTTGATGGATTATACATATGTTTTTCAGTTATATTACGAATCATTTTGTTTATCCTTCTTATCTTTATTAATATCTCAGAGGTTAAGGTCCCCACGCAGAAACTCACATATAAAATGTCAGGAATAACCGTTTATGTAAAACGTCATTAATGAAAGCCTGACCTAGTATGCTTTCGCAGGCTTCCGCGGCCGGAGTCAATGCATTCTTGGCTATCCGAGGTGAGCCGCGTCTTGGTCAATTGGGCGGAGGTTTCGGCCATCTTGTGGCCTTCTTCAGAGTTATACCCCTCAACATATACTGACCTAGTAAGCCACTAAGACTAATAATGGTAAATCGCGGGATGAAGCTTACGATATTTAATGCGACTGTGCGTTCGAGAGGGGTTGAGGATTTGTATCTCGCAAAAACTCACAATGATACTCGAGAAGTGCTTTGTGTAAAATGCAAAAGTGTCAAGAACAATGAAGTAAATTGGCAATGAACGATGCCGAAATGGATTGTGAACTGAGAACGATAGTGACGTTGCGAATAACAATACGCTAATGATCACATTCAGATGTAAGCGACGATGTGCTTGCCTGCACAAGAACTACACATGGACATCCCTTATTTCTTAGAAAGGAAGTTTTTATCTTTGAAGAAAGCATGTGCGTAAGAATCTGTAGAATATTGCGACATTTTTGAATAGTTTATCTTATTGGACTCATGTATGTATCAGTTAAAGTGATAAATATTAACATGTGTTGCGGTACAGCAAATTATTGCTTTGACCTTGCTTATTTGTCCGCATGAAATTTAAATATTTAAATGAAATGAGACATTTTACATATCATTCATTGTATTTGTGTGATTCGATTTTATGTACACCATCATTTTCATACAATTCCCTGCTTTGTTGTTTGCGTTAGTTGCGCACTAGCCAAAACGAATACGAGTATGTAGGTAACACAGACGCCAACTTGTGCCAAGGCTATTCCAAACAATGCGTCTTTAAAGATCCCTTCCCCGTGCTAACTAATTACGGAGATTGGCTGCAGACAGCACTTACCACCGAGCTTAAACCCGTTGCATGTAATTAACGCTCTTCGCTGTAATAGTTTCATTTCTTCCGATTGATGAGGGTATCCAACAAGGAACACGAGGCAATGATTTTTGTGAGGTGAGGCCTTTCAATGTTCTTGTGAGCATCCATTCGACGGTAATTAGTCCAAGACATTGAGGATAGCATATTGCCAAACAGAACCAGAAATTAATTTTAGACGAATATTATATGCGTTTAAAAGTCGAATAATTGTTTGGAGAATAATTCAATGAAATTGCAAATGCATTGAATATAAAAATTATGCAATAATATAATTATTTTACATTATATGTTATGTAACTGTGATGCATAGTTTTATTTTTAATATATAGAGACATCAAAGAAACGGCACATTGACATTGTTCATTTTCAAAAGTGTCGCAAAATATTTGAGTTTTTGTGAAAGTGACTGTTCAGAAGAGCAGTGTTTTATTTTAATGGCTCTCCCCATATATATCTATATACAGGATAGAGCCGTTTCTTTTCTGTACAAATTATCACTTCCAAATACTGATTTTGATATATTAACTGCACTCAATATCTCACTTTTTGCAATGACGTGAAACAAACTAACATAGCCATTTACTCAATACTTCCTCTTCAAATATTTTCTTTTAAACTTCAAACTATTTGTAACGCTGTTTTGAATGTAAAAATTTTGTCTGAGAGATACGAAAGTTTGTCCTTGACTATAAGGCAATTATTGAAAGATTATTCAAGTCTTTGTAATATAGTTTAATATTGATACACTATTCATCAGCAGACGAACTAGGAGGTGGAGATAGAACATCTATCGGCTGGAACAATGTGAAAAGACAATTTTCTTTCGTTTAAAGAGAAAAGTTGACCTACATATGAGATCACATTCTATCTCGTAAATCCACATTCAGTGCTCGGTTTTTCCATTTTCGGATTTAGTGTTCGTCAGAGTTGTAAATGATTGTCACATAACTATCAATTTCTATAATCGTAATCTAATAATCGTACATAATAGCTTCATTATGTCAATCCTGCTAGCCAACCATTTCTAATGGTTTACAAGACAGAACACTACGGTCATTGTAGTACGTATTTGCAATCTATAGCTGCACAAATAATACTGTGTAGTGTCCTGGAACTGCAAAAATGCTTCTGAACAAACCCACTCAAAATGTTTAACGAAATAGTTATAGACACACTTCTCAACAACAAAAAATAAAATACTCTCGTATAACACCACAATAAATTAAATATTTTAAGAAAAAAGGCTTTACCAATAAAATAGTAATACGGATACATAGTACAATATTTCATTAAACACAAAGAATATGAAAAAAATTGCTGATCGTGATAAGTAAATAGCAACTACTTAATGACAAGTGTCATTTCTTATTCGAAGCCTTGAAGCCATGACCTCAGCTATATCGTAAGCAATGACGAACTGGGTATGAGCATTTTTTAGGGTACGCGGAGTATGAAAATAGGCAGAATATCACATCAAATATTTGCATTTCTCAGAGAAGTTCGAACGTGATTCATTGTGTTTGGACTTTTCCCGAGTTCCTGGATATTTGAAGAAAAACATACGCCACGTAAAATAAGGCATTAATTCAATTCAAAATTCATTTCAACATAGTCACCTATCACGTGGCCGGAGGCTGCATAGATTTCTTTCAATTTTTGCGCGTAAAGGATATTAGTAATACAGATTATATCATACAGAACGATGATGCTTCAGTCAACACTTAAATACGTTCATTCGGTCTAAAATGAACCACCTATCTTTAATACCAATTTCTCTGCGCCGGCCGTCGCGCACCACATGAAGGTGAAATCTGGCGCCATCGCCAACTAGGTTCTCGGGCATCGGGCCAAATATCTTTCCCACATACTACATTGGGCTTCTGAGGTGTACCTGGGCATTGACTGAAAATGCAGTTGCACACATTAGGGGTCTTAAAGAAATAATTGCTAATACTGTGCCTACTAAGTACCGATACATGAGCTCGCACAGAAAAATCTACGACATAAGAGCAACTGCTGTGCATTTCGTAGAACGCACTTCCGGACCTCATCCTCGATAGAATGAACCAGCAACATCTGGACAGGGCGCTTATGGGAATGAGTGGAGAGTGAATGTTAGTGAACGTGCCCGATACGCTTTCCGCGCGTGGCGCTTCTCGCACGTGCGTATAAATAGCGGCGGCGCGATGGGAGCCGCTTCCCGTCCGGCGGAAAGGATATTTCAGGCGGCGCGCGCTTTGCGGCTGGGAGGCGAGCGCGCCGGCGGTGGGCGTCGAGCAGGCGTGTGTAGGCACTAGCCAGGCGGGCGGGTGGGCCGGACAGGGGGCGGGTGGGATGGGGTCAGTGTCGGACTGGTTTGATGGGCACAGAGTGTCGGACGGTGGCGGAATAGGTTGGAGGGAAGAGTGGTAGTGGGGAGGATGATCGACGGGCAGATTAGTCGACAGCCGGGATGATCGTCGCCCGGAATTCTCGGCGGACAGGATGACGAGTGTGTGGACGGGGGAGTGGTCTGTTGGTGGGCGTACGCATTGACGAAGGCCCGCTCGCCCCACCGTCGCGATCGCCGCCCACCTTTGCCGCCGCCGCCGCCGCCACCGCTATTAAAAGAGCAAGGCCTGGCGACGTCACGGACAATACGCAGCGGGGAAAAGCCGGCGTACTTTTTGGTCGCGTCAAGATTCCAGTTGGCAACGGCGTCGATTTTGCCTTCCTGTCTTCTTTAATGGACGGTACCTGGATAGGTTGTGTTTT